GTCATTTCATATATTCATCATTCATTTCCTTGTGTCACAAATCACAGTATGTACACATCACGGAGACAAGCAGAATATTTGTGCGAAGGCCCCAGTTGTTACTGGCCAATCTGTGGCCGCATGTGCCCTAGGTTTTGTGCATGCCTACACTGCACGTACAGTGCTGACTGATCCTTACTGCACTGCGCATACAGTGCTGACTGATCCTTACCGCGCACGCTCAAACAGTTCATGGTTCGAGTTACCGTTTTATATTTTATAAATTAGTATCTTATATTTTGTTACATGCTGAACTGGAAATTTGCCCAAAGGTTCTAAATAAAAGGAAAAAAATAATGAAATGTGAGCAACTACCTATTATTTGTTGAGTATATACTTCAAAATGTAATAAGAAATAGGTCTTTCTATCTGGCCATTTTAAATAGACCATTTATTAATTGAATTTACAGAAAATGTGCTGTATTGCGATATGCATCGTTATCAGGATTTGAGATTTTGGTCATATCACAAAACCCTATGTGTGTGTTATTAAATAAAACTGACCAGCTAATGGCCACAGGATGCAGATTTTAACACTCTTGTCATGAAATTATCAACATGCTATTCATAATTCACCATTAAGTTAAGCTGATCACAAACATGCGAGGATCGCCTCTCACCATTTCCAGAGCCACATTCCAAAAGAAATGAAAAAGTGTTTGTATGAAGTAAGAAACAATGGTTTCTTCTTCCTTTTATAAAAGTTTCTACGAGCTGACAGCATTCAAAACCTCTGATGCCTATACTCCCTGCTTCACTTTGACAAGAAAAGCTCTGAAATCTATAGGTGAAATCTGTCACATCACTCCCTTTCCCTGTCAACATCTGATCAAAAAACAGCAATGTGATTGTAAACACTAAGTAGAATTGTAGTAGTGTTGAAAGTACAAATATTTTGTAAGATGTAATAGAGTCAAAGTCAAAAATGTCCATGGCTAAATCTACTTAAGTACAGATATTGGAAAAATGTAAAGTACAGTAACAAAGTAATTGTACTTCATTACGTTCCACCGCTGTGTAAAATTCATGTCATGCCATAAAGAGAAAACTACAACTCGTTGTGTAACAAAAACTGGTCAGGGCTGTTGCAATGAATCAGGATTTGTCTTAGTAAATTACAGAATTATAAATCGCTGTATATCTGAGACGATAAACATTAGTAATATCCATACCTCAACATCATTAGCCTTCCACTGAAAAGCAATCCAGCAACATCAATCAGAACAAAGAACCGTTCATCTCCACTATGCCGACAGCTTTTTCACCTTAGCCAGATGGAACCTGCCAGATCCATCATGACACTATGCTAGTGTGGTAGATCGTATAAGCTTTCACACATTGCTGATATTGGCCAAACAGTTAGGGAAGCCCACTTGTAATTGAAAGATTGTTGGTTTGATTCCCTGCCCAGCAGGGTACTGCTCATGATGTCACATATGGGTTAAATGCAGAGGACACATTTTGTTGCTGTGTGCTGTGTCAACAACTAATCACTTCACCTTAAAATGGTGTTATGTTGTTGATGCATCTAGATGAAAATACCTGGAATTAAAAGATGAAATTTCAAACGCTCATCCTGCTTTCATCTATTGAACAGAAAGACAAAAGTCTTCAGTGCATTGCAAATCCAAATGAATTGGCATGGCTATTGCAATCGCTTTGAAGGGGACTGTAAATTCACACCGGATAACAGAGCCCTGGGGCAAGTTCTGTGCTGAGGAACTGCAGTGATTGCTAATTAGCAGAAGGAGGCTGTGCCATCAGCATAAGAAGATGTTCCTAACTGCCAAGACATTATTGACCTAAGCTGCCTTTAGACCTTCTAAGCAGGTGAGGAAAGGTCAGCAATGCAAGGACCTTATTGGCTCGTTGCTGATGCTAATCACTGCATTTCTCCTCTGAGAAGGAAATTAATTTAGAAGCACATCAGTCTGATGCACTGTGGGACCAAATGTAGGGTGATGATCCTGTGTTATACCATAACATTACATACTGTGTATTTACAGGTCATTCTGAAATGGAAGGTGTTTGGTGGGAGAATAGGAACATAAACATATCGCCTTCACAGTGCCTAAAAACAGGTTCACAATCATTCGTTAATATATAGATTCTAATACAAACATCTGCATACATTACACAATACAGTACAGGTATATTGTTTTGGATAAGGCTGTAAGAATAATTCTACCATTTATTTCAGTAACCAGCAGTCCTAATACATAAATAAATATCTTTTTTATCTTCAAAAATTCCAAATTATATCTATTTTTGTGAAATACTGATTAATCAAATTTCCATGCAGTTTTATCTCATGCAAACATCGCAAAAAAAATTAAGCTTTTAGACTACATACACTATGACTGAACACACAAAATGTATGACAACTAAAAGTTTATAATTATTTAAAACATGCTTTGAAATGCCATTAGCTAAATATCAGAATGAGCATAATTTATTATGTTATTTTGTTTAAATGAGGATGATTTCTTGTAATGACATTATGGGCCTATGTGGCATTTACAGCTGTTCCGTTACTGCTGGGTGCTCTGCGTTAATGGTAACGTAAGGGCCACACTAAGGGCCACACCACAACTCGGTATTTGATAACAGAGAGTTGCCTAAAATTGTGGGGAAAACAATAAGGATTGAAAATTTGTGTCTCTTGGTCTCTAGGCTAAGGACAAGACCCCAGGTATTAAATGAGCTTCTAGCTGCTCTTTTGCTCTGGAAGCCACTTACAAATCACCACGGATAGTAATCAGGCAGCTTTGGATAACAGTGGATTACACAAAGCTTGCAAAGTGTGCTGTTTACGTCAGCCGGCCCCTGGGGGTGGAGGAAGCCAGAGGGAGCCAGTCATCCGCAGAGCTGTAAGTACCGCATTCTGAGTGACCAATAACAAAGCCTCCCAGTGACCATGTAATCCCCCTTAGCTCACTGGTTGTTTTCAGTCAGTAATTCTCAACTGAGTGAAGACACACATGAAAAAATATATGCATGCAATATATGATGCAATATTCCCCTAGTCGGATTGTACAACCACACTCATTCATAATATCATGCATACACACAAATACACAATCATATGAAAACATACTAAAATCTATTATGCTATTGTCAATCTGTTCTTTGTATGCCAACAACACATTAATGTTGCAGTAATAAGCTGAGATTTGGTAGTATAGCTCAGTGTTTCCCAACCCAGTCCTCGGGGATTCCTGGACAGTCCACGTTTTTGCTCCCTTCCAGCTCCCAGCCAATCAGGAACACCGAATACCTAGTACAGGTGCACTAGGAGCAGAGAGGAAGAAAAAACATGGACTGCTGGGGTTCCACAAGGACTGGGCTGGGAAACACTGGTATAGTTCATCTCTGCTATTCAGGACTGATCTCCGCTATTTACTGTTTGGACCAGACATAGAAAATTCTAGCAGTTCTAAACAATAATTAGAAAACAGAGACAGAAACCTTGAATGTTTTGACTCTCTGGGGTTCTTCACATATATGCAACATATTATACATTTATTTTTCTTCAGGTGGATCCAATATCCTTATACAACTTTTACCTCGGTGCCATTGATTCTTAATCAGTAGGAGTACAGCGCCTCCTGGTGTTGGTTCACTTATCTATCAAACTACACTATATGGTCAAAACTATTGGGACACACCACTCAGTCATTGAATTCAGGTGTTTCATTCAGACCCATAGCCACAGGTGTATAAGATCAAGCACCTAGCCATGCAGTCAGGTTTACAAACATTTGTGAAATAACGGGTTGTTCTGAAGAGCTCATTAAATTCAAAAGTAGTACAGTCATAGGATGTCACCTTTGCAATAAGTCAGTTTGTAAAATTTCTTCCCTGCTAGATATAGCTCGGTCAATTGCACTAAATAAAAACTCAGTTCAAGACAATTTTTTACAGGTACTGTTGTAAAATGGAAACGATTTGTAACAACAGAAACCACATACAGTAACATAACGGGGCTGCGAGTGCTGAGGCGCATGCTGATTAAAAGTCGCCAATAATGACTGAATAACTGCAAACTTCCTCTGGCATTAACCCCAGTCCAAAACTGTACGGTCTCCCTGCACTTCCTCTTTATGTACTGTCAGTGACTGTTTGTTGTCTGTGTTAGTTCTTTTAAGGGTTTAATAGAAGGGTGTTTTTGTTCTTTAAAACAAGTCGTATCGGCTTCGGTCTGCTAGGCAATCATTCATAGACAGGTTTGTCAGAAATTAATTTATTTTGAAATGATTTTTGTTTTATAAATATCGCAATATTTATAAAATCACATCATGATATCTGAAGTTTTCCAATATCTTACAAGCTCTAATTTTAATAATTAATTACAAGAAAATCAGAAATTTGACTGGGTGGGCCTAGAAAAAAAGTGGGTGGGCCTAGGCGAAACAACGGCCACGCCCCTACGCACATCTGAATTAATAGCCTAATGTTCTCCATGAGGGATACATTCGCACATTGGCCAAGAATTACTTAACTAAAAAGTAAGATGTTTCCACTCAGTTATACCCTTATAAAAACTTCCATCAAACTGCAAATATAAATATTTATAAATATTTTAAATAGGATGTGAGTATGTGGTGCAACCTTTGGTTCGGGCTAACTGATTCGTTAATTCTTGACCGCTTTGACTGTGCTGCCTGCGGTTATGCAGTGGTTGTGATCATTTATAATTGTAGTTATCTTTATATAACGAATTTAATAAACACAGACCAACTAGTTCATAAGTGGTGATTTTACTTTTATATAATGCAGCAATTCGTTTTGTTTTTAAATACACGTTCGCTAATTTAAAATTAACGCTAGTTCAGAATGAATGTCATATAGGCTGACAACAGAAAATTTCTACTTCTGTATATTAACTACTACGAAAAAGAAAATAAGGAAATTATTTAGAATTGTTTAGGTCGCTGTAGTTTTTCTTTCCTTGAGTTTCATAATTAATATTTATATCAGTCAGTGTTCTATTAGGCCTGCTCTTTCCCTCTATTTACCATATTCAGTACGTACACCTTAAATATGCCTAATTTAAAAACTGCGCGTAACTTTCATTGCATAAATAGCATTTTTTTGTAAACTAAAGCTTTACATGGACCTAAGCAATATCTATATCTAAGGGTAGTATCTATATACAGCGGCGTAGCCTACTTGGTTATCGGGCTTCGGCCGGTATTGTCGCGTATCCCCTTCCTATGTACTGAAAGAGTGTCAGTGCGTGTTGCATTTACTAATAGGCTGACTTACTTATAGTGGGCGGAGAATACTTTCTTAAATGCCAAATCTTCTACTCTAAACGTCGATTTGGATGTCGATTTGGAAATGTGCGCGCACAAACACAAACATAAAGAAAAGTGCAAGTTAAACGGATACCGAACTTGAAAGCTTATTGGAAATGACGCCTAAATGCTGAAAGTATTTTTTTTGTACGAAATGCGAAGTCATCTTGTGGAATAACTGCGAATAAACAGTATTTTTCCATTTCCTGGTTCAAATCAATGAGGCGATGCATCGTCTTTTGGATTTTAGTGAACTCCACAGTCCTCCAAATGCACTACCGGATCGATCTCACAGATTTAGGAGTTTCATGATAGAAGAGATTCTGACTGATCCCCCGGCCACCAAGATGTCTCCCCCGACGGGAGCAGCACTCAGGTTTGGGCTGCAAGCACTTTTATCAACACGATCATATCACAATCATTTCGGTAAGCACCTATTTTCCACATTTACGTTTAATATGTGCTTTAAGTAATGGCATATCGTAATGGAATAACGTGCTATATAACGCGACTTCTGGGATGTGTAATAATAAAGTGTTAAATTACTTGTGAGCAATTAAACGATTATTAAAACATTAACTTTATAGCAACTAATTTATTGTCACAGATCATACAACTAGATGAATCAATTCATAATATGCCAAATTAAATCTTACGTTATAAAAAACATTTACGTCGGATTTGCATTTGTGAGCATGCAAAACAAAAAACTTGCGAACTGGATTCTGTAGTTCGTATATAATTTCGTATGTATTAAATTAGTTTATTTTCATAATTAACTATGTCATCGTCAATCCATTGTTTCAGACTATTAAAGTTTCAAATGTGCATAGAACAGACTTTGTACGTATTAATTTGCATCTATAATATTCTTTTTGTAGAAAAGAATGTACCTAAGCCAGAATTGCGTTTAATCACGTATAATTCAGAATTGCACAGTGGTAAGATGATATTATGAAATACCGTATTTTATTGCCGGCATTTTCTTCCAGTTAAGCAATGTACGAATAATAATTACTAATTTCCATGATCATTAGGGTGTCAGGTGCTGTAGTCGTTAAGTAGCCCACCAGATGTTCCGCGTTTTAGTTCCAGCTGTCGGACTTATGCGGTGTCAACAAAATGCGAAGCGAGTTTTTATATAAATAAAACACTAATAAATGTCTTTAGTTTCTAGTTCGTTTTGCGTTTCTCTCTGTTTGAGAACTTGCCTTTTATTGTAGAAAATGACTTCTTTACGTGTTTCAAACTCCTGGAAAGGAATTGTGCGCGGTTCTTTCAAAAAATGTTTCTCCTATGACGAGTCTTGGATGTTGTTTTAGTTTAGCTTGAGAAATTCATTGTTTCAGTAGCCAATTTTATATTCGCGTGTTGTGTCTAAGAATCATAATAATATAATAATATGTATCAAAGAGTTTGGATGACAGCTATAAAATACAATATGCAACGTATTCTTGCACAAATACAAAGCAATATTTGCACATGATTTTAATTATCTTATTTTTAATTGCTGTTGTTATTACTTGCAGGCCTGAAACCAGATCATACCGGGGTTTTCAAGTTGCCTCTTTGCCCCCTGTCGTGCTCTCTCGGCTCTCCGCTGGGAGCCGCGCTCTTCCACCGGCCGCCGGCACTGCAGGCCGGCTCCACTTCTCGGCAAATGTCCTTAGAACCACATCTCCACGGCAAGATTAACCCCAGACTTGATGGAGAAAGCAAGACAAAGAAAGGCAGAAGGAGCCGAACAGTCTTTACCGAACTGCAGCTTGTGGGCCTTGAGAAACGATTCGAGAAACAGAAGTATCTTTCCACACCGGATAGGTATAAAATATGCATTTGACCATCGCAGCATGATGTAGCCTATAGATAGATTTCGTGCAATTTTTACTATCCATCAATTATATCTTTGATACTTATAGTTAGTGCCGCATAATATTCATGCAGCTTGTGATTTAAAAAATCCATAGCGAGTGATTTTTTTATTTCACAGAATAGACCTTGCCGAGTCGCTGGGTTTAAGTCAGTTACAAGTCAAAACGTGGTATCAAAACAGAAGAATGAAGTGGAAGAAAATTGTAAGTTTCGTTAATTGTTTTCTAGAGATACACTTAGATAAATTGGAATAAAATAGTATAAATGTTGCCTTGTGCCCCTGTTTGGAATGGAATCGTTCAGAAGATGTTTATTTTTTATCCGTGCCTTTGTGTGCAGCATCACCTGTAAAATGGTGTGTTAATATTTGGCACACGTTTCTTATGCACAGGTCCTGCAAGGTGGCGGGCTGCAATCCCCCACCAAGCCAAAAGGTCGTCCGAAGAAGAATTCACTTCCCTCTAGTGAGCAGCTTTCAGAGCAAGACAGGTCTATAGAGAAAGATCTGCAGTCAGGCGGCATGAAAAATTACAACGTAAACCAGGAGGAATGAAATGGAGTATACGGCCGCACTGGCGGTGGCAGGTTATCGCCGTGCCGTGAACATTTGACATGTATTAGGCCCGTATTTTTCTTGGGTGTATCCAGGGGAACCGAGGAGTGGCGCGTGGTAATTATAGCTTCCTTCAGCTTCTTTTTTCCAAAAACAGGGCCTCGCCATCTAGACACCCCCAATCGTTTCGAAAAGCAGAAACCAAATGAATGTCCTGCCAGTCAATTAATATCTGTCCCATACAAAAAGGACGCACAAAAACGTTCAGCAGATCACTGATTCTGTCCCACTTTCAGTGAAATATCTGAGTACTATAGTATTTGTGTTGACATTTCTTATTACTTGTACATTTATTTAATATGCTGTTCTAACAATGGTAAGATATATGCAGAATGTGAGAATCCCGATGAAATTTCGTAAGGACCGTATGAGAGTTATATACATTTACACACAGACACACATATATATCTCCCCTGGATAAAAATGTAACTTATTAAATTTTCCTAATCAAGGGATTGGTATTTATCTTCCCTTATCTTTCTCTATTGTGTGAAACATCTGCTTATGCATAATCGGATCAACTGTAAATTTTCATTTATTTGTTACATTTCGTTTCTGTTGTCGCTTATTTTTAATTTGCCCTCCAATGCTGCATATGTGCCGGAACAGTAAGCTCTATGAAATTAATGACATGTAAACATTTTCTTTGTATTGTCACATAAATGTATAGCTTTATAGATTATTTCGAACGGTATTCCATTCTTTAAAGTTTCCTTTAATTCCAGAACACCCATTGTGTAACCCCAACTGGAGTTAAGCAATAAGAGAAACACTAGAAATCATGGGGTCTTTTCTCCCATCTTGCGCTTAAGTTCAGCACTTAAAAAGTTACGCGATTTTGACTTATACGTATGGGAGAACAGAGCCCTATATGTTTGTACTTTTTAAGCCGTAGCGTCGATGAAAGTCTGCACTTGAAGTAATAAGTTAGTGTGTTTTGCTTGTCAATGTTGATCTTTTTAGCGAGGACTGGTTACGTTTGTTAATATCGTACTACTTGCCTTTCGTCTCCAAAGACATACAGTGATTCTTGTGTCCTTGCCAGTGATTCGCATGCAAACAATAATGCTAAGTGTGGCGTAATTATTTGTTGCATACTACATTCTTCCAATAAAATACCCTACGTTTTGTAAGGACCCCGTGGACTAGAACTGGAACTTGCCTCTGAATCAGTGTTGGATCGCTGCTCGTTTCGGATGTTACGTCATTTATAAACATCGTTATTGTGGTTAGGAAAACATGCGCAGTAATACCATGCTCGTGTTCACACACATTTCTAATCATCCTTATTAAACTTTTGTATTCAGCAAGTTATTAATTTGTATGTTTTAACATCACTAGCCATCTTACCAGCCCACTACAATGCATAATTAATAAAAAAAATAATTAGCATACGGTGTTATGTTATTTTACATGCAATTAATTATATGCTTTATGTTTTTGGAAGCAAAGTCCGTTTTGATTGCTATTTTAAAGTCAAAAACCGGAATTGTAACACGTAGGTAAACAGAGAATAACACCTCGTAAAATTACATCGTTTATGTACCCCTACTTTCATCCCTTGACTAAACCGTAGAACAGTTTTATTTTCTTTCAACTACATTCATGTATTGTATTATACGTGGCATAAGAAAATGAAGGTAAAACTTTCTTAACCAGCGTACTGAAAGAGTATAGTTGTAACGTCATCCAATGGATTATTTTTAGGCCTATATTTTCTATTATTCCTTCAAATTTATCAGGAACTAACTTACTTGCTTGTCACTGTCTTTACAATTGCAAGATCGACATGTTCATGTCCTCTTTCTTTTATACCCTGCTAGCAGATTTAGCAATATGTTGATATAGGCTGTTAGTTGAATATAGCTGTATGGTATCCATCCGTTACAAACGCTCTTGTCCATGACCGATCGAACTTGGTTTCAAGTTTCAGTTTCATTTGCCATATGTATGTTAACACAGGGTCAGGATTACAATGAAATGCGTTGGACGAGAGATAAACAAGCCTCTCAGCGTTAACACAATATTGCTGCGATAACTCGGAGCTCTCGTCGGTGCTATAATACTACTAATAATAGCAATAATAATAATAAGAAACATTGCCACCTTACGTATAATCCAAAAAGGTCTACCGAGGCAGAAGCGACAGCTTTTCTCACCCCACACAGTGTCATATGCATGTTATAACGGTTCATTAAGCTTTTCCGAGTTCCGAGTGTTAGTTCCCACTGTGGGACTTCGACTGTGAAATGAATGAATAAATAAATAAATCTAGGCCTATGATTTACATAAAACTGCTTTTCTAAATTGCGACGCTTTTGCTATTTCTCGCGCTGAATGAACGTCCTTTAAAGTCGCTTAGAATACTGGTCAGCTGTTGTTACTGGTTCTAGTTTTCTTGCATGTTCCCATTGCTTAATTATTTTTTATGTATTTTTGGCAATAACATTTTAAGAATAATTTCTAAAGAAAATTTGTAATTTAAATCTAGTGTAATCATGAGTTGATTCATGGTTTTTGCTATTTTGATTGTATAGCAGTTTGGTCAGCTGTTGCTGTTTTTAAATTTGCTTTATGAATATATTTTGACTTCACTTGTGTAACAGAATATAATTCGGCACAATTGTGTAACATTTCTTGTATTGTTTAGAATGCATTTGTTTAACTGTGTTTTAATTTTTTTTTAATGTAAATGTGTACTAATGATGCACACAATTGTAAAGGTATTGCAATCCATCGATTTTTGATGATGATGATGATGATTTATTTATTTTTTTTAAATGAAGAGGCATCCGGGTATACCTGAGTTTTTCATGAAAAGAAATCCAAAGTGACATGACTTTCCGCCCTTGTTCAGAGCCGTATACTTTAAAAAAAGAATAGAATCTGTTCTTTGTTTGAAAGACGCATTTATCAAAATAAGATTTAATTTATAATATCTATAGACTAATAAACAGGGGTCAACACCATGGCGAATTCTGAGGGAAGTTCAACATGCATTTTTTTACGACGGACATGCTATTGCAAAACGTTGTTTTTTTCAGTCAAAACAGACGGGGACCGGTTGACCATCCTCGCTTATAAATAACAGTTTACAAAGACTTTCAAAATCATATTTATATCATATGTATTAATCATGTTTTGCCCCCAATCCCCCAGGTCTCCTTAAGCTGCTTATATGTAACTAGGAAAAACAGATTCCTGCAGAAGACAATCAAATTGATGATAAGAACACTTTAAAATGTTTCCGGTTAATATTTTAATTGTGAGTCGTTAAAAATAGAAACAGCACATTAATAAATGCTGACATGCTGTCTAAGGTGCTTTGGTGCCCCGTGTTTTCTGGAATGGGGTAGCGGCACCTGCCCTTGATACGCAGTGTGGATAACGGAGAGATGGATGGATAGATAAATGGGTCATTAGTAAAGTATTTATTAAATAGTAAATATGTAAAACATTTTTCTGACAATATGCTGAAATTTCCAAACATCCGATTTACATTAAGATGGAATTCTTTGATAGTCACCTTGAGATACATAATTACTATGTATTACTGAAAAAGTAAAAATCATTTCATTTAAACAACACATAAGATGGCAGAGTGGCAGAATGGTAAGTACTACTGCCTCACATATCCAGGTTTGGGGGAAGGATTTCTGCCACTGCTCTCTGTGTAGGGAGTTTGCATGTTCCTTCTGTGTTCTCCCTGTGTTCCCCCTGTGCTCTCCCTGTGTTCCCCCTGTGCTCTCCCTGTGTTCTGCCTGTGCTGTGCAGGGTCATCTGGGTTCCTCCCATTTAATTAACATGAGCTAATAATAAAGCTATAGTAGTACATGAAGCAGAACTTCATAGTGCTGCAATATGTTGATTTACTGGAAGCTGTCTTATATGTTGTGATGATTTAAATTAAGGACTTTGATTTTCAGCTTTTGTATGTTTTGCTGTAAAGTTGCGTGTCAGTTTTGCCTAGGCAGTGAAACTTCGTAGGTACAGTATATACCCGAAAGCTTATTTTCCAAGAAGCAACTTAAATTCCAGTTTCAGTAATGGATTATAAATTCTACCTTTTATTTTCATATAATTTATTATTTGTGACCAGTTGCAAGATTATAGCATGTTCCTGTTTATATATATTCTAGTTTATTTAATTTAGGTAACCTTTCCAGATTATATACTTCAGTAGGCTACACGCTGGTTTTCCTTTTTATTGCATAAATGTAGCTTTCATGTCATAAAACAGAACAGCCAGTGTGGGACTGTCTTTGTTTGATTTACCTCCAGAGTGCCTTACGTGGCGGCGAGTGCTGTGCTCCTGCACCGTGGCTTCATCAGTCTTCGGCTGTGTGACTATGGGTAGCTTGTCTCCTCTCGTGTTAGCGTCTGACACGCTCCAGCTGTGGCCCCGACCTGGCCTATGTGCAAGTCTTTCAACTCGTAGTAATAAACTATAATCACTTCCTCTGACTAATTCAGAAAGCAGGTGGAAAGCTCTGAATGTACTGTGAGGTAATCAGCTGCCCAAGAGTGTAAATCTCCCCTGAGAGGTGAATAGTTATGAAGTAATCAACTATGTTTTCCTGTCATAAAACTGTACAGTACTCACTAAGCATGAATTAAATTTCACATATAGTATATACCCAGAGTTTACAGTACATCGGTGTTAGGGTCTGTACCGTCCAAACCTGCCCTTGGTGTCTCTGTCCCATTTGGCCAGCAGGTGTCGCTGACCATCCTGTTTGCCACCATGTCTCTTGTCCTTCACATCCCTAGTGTGTTTCCCCAGCTCCCTGGCTGCCGCACAGCTCTATGGGCTGAGCATGTGGCTACAAACCCTCTGCTTATGGGTTAAAGGCCTGCCTCCTCAAGTTATTTGTATTTCCTGGATTTTTGCTTCCCCCGTCTTTGGTACTTTCTTTCCTGGTTATAGGTTTGTCCTGCTTTTGTCCTGTTCACTTCCATATTGGTTCCAGGTTACTTATCCTAGTGTAGTAATTCCCAGTGTGGTTAGTGTTTCCTCGTTTCAGTGTTTGTTAGAAATCTGTAGTTCTGTGTTGTTATTCTAACTCACCTCACTTGTTTCTTGTTGCTATATGTCTTGGTTGATTGGCTAACTCTCATGTTCCACACCTGCCCTCTTGTTAGTCGGTTCCCTGTCTATGTTTAAGTGCCTGCATTCTGCGTTGTTCTCTAGTCAGTTATTGTACATTGTTCTGTGGTTGTTACTCCGCCGGTTTTCTGAGTTCTGTTCTCTCTATTACCTGTTTCCTGTTGTACGTCATTTATGGTTCTTTAAGTAATGTTTTACACCGGAGTATTTCTGACCTCTCATAGTTCTTTTTCCCCAGCATGTTTTGTTTTGATTAAAATAAACTTTCGTTGTCTTGGAGCTGCCTCTTGGATCGTCCGCGTCATGCTGTGCCGCAACAAGCTTCTGTTATCAAGCTGTTTTTTTTATGGGCCAGAGAGTCAGTTATGTCACCATCAAACGCTACTCTTAAAATCTTAAAAGAACATAGCATTAAGATGAAGATAGCACAGGTTCGGCAACATGTAGTAAATGGAAAAGCACCAAGCAATTTAACTCATGATGTTGATATTACTTTAAGTAGAACAATATCTGAAGATGAAGTACTTACCCATGCAAACATCAGATCAGGCCAGAGTGCTTTGGCAGAGAAACAGAGCCAAGTCAATGAACAGGTCAACCAAAGCAGGTGCTGTTCAGTGCTCCTCTCTTCTGAGGTCATTAAGCCTTAAAGGGCCATAAACTGCATCACACACTCGTTTGTCGTTCTCTGACATTTCAATTATAGGTTGAGAGGAGGAAATGAGTGCCTTGGAACTTACACTGCAATTTATTCACCCACTGACCGAGAGTCGATTTAGAGTAAGGTGTGCGTGGAGTTCAATGGCACTCGATGAAATGGGATTCAGCTTGGAGGAGCTAAACATGCACTCAATAGCCCATGCACACACACAGGAATCAGCTACAATTAAAGCTTCTCTGATTAATTTAGTTCACAAGCCAAAATCACATATGCCACATAAGATCCCAATTAAAGTGAAGTTGAACCCTACTTAGACTCCTCCCTGTCCCTCCCCAATGAAAAACCTACAAGTAATATATTTTATTAGGCAACCTGGAGGAAAACCGAGAATCCTTAATAACTTGACTCCTACAGCATTCATTGAGCTCCACTACTTTTGCCCTTGAAATATGCTCCTTCTTTTCAGGACCTGGCAACCCTTCTGCCACATGTGCTTCACTTTTGGCAGGAGTGAGCCAGTGAGTTAAGAAAAAAAAGTTAAAGCTAATTAAAAAGTAAGGCAATAAATAAATGTCCAGCAAAGGAAGGGAGGTATATGGTGTTCTGCTGACTGCCAGTAGGGTGATGTGTCTATTATTAACCACTCATGGTAAAGGAGACGTGTTGACATGCCTCATGATTCCTCCAGCCGGTCTCAGGAACCATCTTACCATGATACATGGGGATGCCTTTTTCAATTTGGATTACAGGCAGCATAAGAGCAGAACATGTGACATACTATTAGAAAAATCAACACAAGACAATGGTTTCTTTGTGGTTTGGGTTTTGATTTTTATCCAGATTTCAACAATGGTCAGAGGACTTGGTGATGAGTTCAACTGCTGAAGGGAAGAAGCTGTTTTTGTGGTATGGGGTTTTGGTCATGATTGACCTCTGTTTCTTGCGGGAGGGTAGTGTTTCAAGCAGTCTGTGTCCAGGATGGGAGGGGTCGGCCACACTGTCCGGTCTGCACTAGGTTCCTGGAGGCCTGGAAGGACGGCAGATTGCAGTCAACGACCTTCTCTGCAGAGTGGATGATATGGTAGCAAGAACATACCAGATGGTGATGGAGCAGATGAGGATGGACTCAATGGTGGCTCCGTAGAAGTGCACCATCATTGTCTTTGGCAGATGAACTTCTTCAGCTGCCGTAAGAAGTGCATTCTCTGTTAGGCTTTTTTGATGAGGCTTGTCCCATGTAATTAACACTTTGAGACGTACTTTGTTCTTTAATCATTTTGGAAATGCTTTTCCATTTTCCTTCTGAAGCTCTGAAGCTCAAAGACTAACTGTAAGGAAAAGTAATTCATTCACATTCAATTCTGCTTGTGCTATAAAAGGTGGGATCCAGTGCCGATCTCATTAAACAATGGCTACAAGTCAGGTAATAGCACAGGATGGGGTGCCAACCCATGGCAAGGTTCACACTCTCTCTCACACACACACACAGACACACACACACAGGTTTGTAACTATGTCTTTGTGGGGACTCTCCATTCATTCACACACAGCCACACCTACAGACTCACATAACCTGAGAGTAGTCACATCTGTGGGCCCTTCAGTGAGCCCCTTAACGCCACAGCTCCATGGGCACTGCTACAGGAGACTGCCCTCCACTGGCACTGCTACAGGAGACTGCCCTCCACTGGCACTGCTACAGGAGACTGCCCTCCACTGGCACTGCTACAGGAGGCTGCCCTCCACTGGCACTGCTACAGGAGGCTGCCCTCCACTGGCACTGCTACAGGAGGCTGCCCTTCCTTCGCTGCCAATCCTGCTCTCACCTACATGTGCGTCAGTGCGTCAGAGAGCAAGATGGGCTAGACAGGAAGGGAATTTCCCCATAATAATAAATAAATAATAATAAAAATAATAATAATAAGAAGAAAAACTATTAGTATTATTATTAAATCTGTCAAATCTGCCAAGTCGTGATAAAATGTTGCTGTTTTAAGTATCATATAAAGTCTTTCATTTTACTTGACATGGAAATTGGGCATTAATAAGCAATCCTTGCCAAAGGCTATTAGAGCAGTGCTGAAAATGGCACTGACTCCCGTGAAAATTCCCTGACATTCTAATATAAGTGGCAGCACCCGAACCCCATCCAGCAGGAAAAGCCCTGGAGCCATCTGGCAAACGAGGGAGCTGCCTTAAACACACTGATCAAAATATTGCCACCCTATGTAAACACAAGTTCTAACGCTGTTTGACCCTCATTCAGCAGGGTGCAGAGCAACTGGCCTATTAGCAGAGCCCGTGCTGGAAATTCACGGCCATCTCCTACAGGTGGAGATCCTGCTGGGGGAGAGGTGCGGGTTGATGTTTCGTTTCTCAGGAGACATCTTTCAGATGTGACACATCACACCACTGTTTAACTATACGCCATGTGCAGCGACTGCAAATGCTGGAATTCAATGCTGGGAAATCTGGTCCCTTCATAATGAGGTTCATGTATGTGGCTCTTCATCATCACCACCATCATCATCATCAACAACAATAATAATAATAAAAATGAACATTGTTATTATTGTTATTGTTGTTATTCCTATTATAACAGGTACACATACCTTCTTGCCATCTCTATATAAACATTTGAACACATGAATAATTATTGAGATGTTAATGTTGATAGTTTCAGAAAAGGAACTAATTCTTGTTTATAAAGTGTATTAGAACTAGCAAAGATTGATACAATTAAAAATCAAAACCTTTATTTGTCAATTTAAGAAATGTTTTCCTAAAGTTGAATTAAGATGATTAGGCATGTATTTTGTTACGGGAATCAAATACATTAATGTAATACTATGTTCGTCTCACATACAGTATTTCATTAAATTAAAATTCTAAGACTGCACCAACTATTGCAAGCCTGGTAAATATCACAAACACTATATGTAATAGATTTAGTTTTAGAAAGTCCCTCTGTGTACATTCTGATAAACAGCAACTAACACTAAATGCCAGACTTAGTCTTTCTACCAAATGAAAATAATCCACAGCAAGAAAAACATTCACCACGTACTCCAAAAAACGCCAGCTCATTTCACTTGTCTGTAAAATTCATAATCTCATATAAGGCTAGTTGTAGCTGTACCTAATTTCATAAATATGATGGTCCTGAAGCAAGAGTTCTCAAAACCTCAGAACCACAGTTTTGTTAAATGAAATATTTTTAGTCTGTATTCTTTTCCCTGTCATCTTCGAGATGGCAGGAAGCTTAAGGTTCACCTACATATGACCGTAGAAACACATGCTCAGAATAACTTGATCAACCTGACAAGAGTCGTCAGTTGTAGGTTGTTTCTAGCCCACTCTGGTTTCACGGTCTAGAGAACCTGTCACCCATTGATTATAAACACATGGTCTTGAATGTCTGTTAGAGCATTTGAGTCTGGAATGTAATTAATCTGGCTTTATTTGTCACAATACTTAACCACTGTAAAGAACCCGGTTTTTATGTTTGCTGTATTACACCATGAGTATTCCCAGGTTTCCCCAGAAATCACTTTTGGTGGCATTGTAATAAAATTCATCACAAATCATGTGTGACATCCAAATTGGTTTGCCACAGCTATTTAATGTGCTTCTTTGGTAATAGTTTTCCATAATGATGATTCATATTGTGCTGCAGCTAATATTTATTGCAAATATTAGATAATTCAGAGCATTACAAAATGCTTTTAATGATTTTATCATTTATTTTGGAGAGAAATATTGTAACATTATGTCATAGTCACTGTTTCTATCACTGTTGCTATCAGAAAAACTGTAATACCTATAATATAAAATAAAAATAAAATTACTTTTGTGAATATTTTTATGCAATCCCTCACCAGCTACACTTATCACAAGAGACAACCAGGCTAACTGCAGTACTATATTTCAAACCGACCAAAATTCCATAAAGGATATATTACTACAAGACGCTGGGAGCTTGACGCGCTCTGAGTAAGCGGAGAGACAATCCCAGCCTACTGCTGGCCTCACAGATGTTTTCCAACCTTCAGTCCAGAATGTGTTAAACATGAACCAAAGAATGTTAATAGCAAATGCAGTACTTTGTTTTGCTAAGTTTAAATATGCTTTAGAAATAATATTTATACTAGACGAGCATTTTCACACTCATGTGGGGCTGGGTTCTGTAAGTGCCATACATTAGTTTAGGCAGTTAGCGATGTTTAATTCCTTTTATTTTGGAAACAGACAACATGTGGACTGCGCTGTGGGGGTGGGTTATGCTCTGGTCATCGTCTTAAATTAAACTTAATTTTGTACGTTTTCAGACTGTGTACTGTATTGTTATTGTCTGTAGCCAGCCTAATGAAAGGGGCCCAGCTGAGCATATCAGCGTTTCAGGCTGCAATCTAAACAGCCTGATGAACTGCAGGTGTTCCGGTACCTCGGGAGACTCTCAATTTCTTTTTTATTTTAAATTGAGCCCCAGGTCAGAGTCTCGTGACTGCAGGCCTCACTGATCTCAGACAGCATCCCAAGCAGCAGGACAAGCCCCACTGCCCACAGATTAATGGCTGTGACTGAGATCCTACCAGATCCCTGCTTGCCGAATGTTTACATATCA